AATGCTACATATCAACACGGTCACAAGAGGCGACGCGGTAACCCAGCGCCCACTGCATTGGGCGCCAGTGTATCCACTCAGTCACTAAGCAATCATCGACAAAATACGTCTTTTATCGGCCAGACACTGATCTGTTCATTAATATGAAGTGTCCATCCAAATCCACGCTATCCGCCACACAGCAGCTATCGACGGTAGATACCACTCCAGCGGTAGCTGGCTGCGACTCACTGACACCGGCTAGAGACAGCTGTCCGCTGAAATCAACCAGGCATGTAACCCGTCCCCTCCTTAGATCATCTGGCAGAGATGATCAAGAGGTGGTAAAGCTGCGTCATGTCGTCCGGCTGGATGTCGCTCACCAGAACCTTCTGACAGGTGCTTCAGCTGACAGAGTCGAGCGCCTTCTTCACCACGAGCCCCGCGATGTATGTAGGCGACGATGAGCGGCGTTGCCAGCTGCCACCTGGACGCAGATATTTGAAATCCCTAAAACAGCACGGTTTTGTTGAGGCGCTGTCGCCGGCTGTCTCGCAGCCGTGTGATGTAGAGCCTGGCCTGGTGTTGGAGTCGCACCTTGTGGTAGAGGCTCACCAGCAGGCGGATAAGGTCCGTGTGATGTAGAGCCTGGCCTGGTGGTGGAGTCACACCTTGTGGTAGAGGCTCACCAGGAGGCGGATAAGGTCCGTGTGATGTAGAGCCTGGCCTGGTGGTGGAGTCGCACCTTGTGGTAGAGGCTCACCAGGAGGCGGATAAGGTCCGTGTGATGTAGAGCCTGGCCTGGTGGTGGAGTCACACCTTGTGGTAGAGGCTCACCAGGAGGCGGATTAGGTCCGTGTGATGTAGAGCCTGGCCTGGTGGTGGAGTCGCACCTTGTGGTAGAGGCTCACCAGGAGGCGGATAAGGTCCGTGTAATGTAGAGCCTGGCCTGGTGGTGGAGTCGCACCTTGTGGCAGAGGCTCACCAGGAGGCGGATAAGGTCCGTGTGATGTAGAAGAGCCTGGCCTGGTGGTGGAGTCGCACCTTGTGGTAGAGGCTCACCAGGAGGCGGATAAGGTCCGTGTGATGTAGAGCCTGGCCTGGTGGTGGAGTCGCACCTTGTGGTAGAGGCTCACCAGGAGGCGGATAAGGTCCGTGTGATGTAGAGCCTGGCCTGGTGGTGGAGTCGCACCTTGTGGTAGAGGCTCACCAGGAGGCGGATAAGGTCCGTGTGATGTAGAGCCTGGCCTGGTGGTGGAGTCGCACCTTGTGGTAGAGGCTCATCAGGAGGCGGATAAGGTCCGTGTGATGTAGAGCCTGGCCTGGTGGTGGAGTCGCACCTTGTGGTAGAGGCTCACCAGGAGGCGGATAAGGTCCGTGTGATGGAGTCGCACCTTGTGGTAGAGGCTCACCAGGAGGCGGATAAGGTCGGTGTGATGACTGTCTAGATCAAACTGGGAGGCGTGTGCCGTCCCAGGAGGAGCACATCCTCGCCACCGATGCGCTTCCTCGAATTAGCGAAAAATAATTCATGGCAGCCGGAACGTGTTTATTCAGCATATCGGCAGGTAACGCAAGGACGGCACTTCATAATGCCGCACGTTTTATACCACCCATGGTGAAATATACAGTAGACCAATGCTTTGGATGTAAGCAATGGTATGTTTGAGCATCGTTAGTAATATTATTGTGATGAAAAATGACCTTATGCTCATGATATAATATGATTTAGTTGAATTGAAATAAGACCAAAAAATCATTTATATATTTCGACTTCTCGAGAGCGCCCCGCACGACGGCGAACGGCTTCAAACTTCCTCTGGGTGCAGTGGCAGAGCTCCCCGCACGACGGCGAACGGCTTCAAACTTCCTCTGGGTGCAGTGCCAGAGCTCATGTGCGCTCCAGCGCCGCGCTGAGTGCCGGAGCTCTTCTGCCATTTCCTCCACCGTAAGGCCCCACACACTCTATTGGATTTAGATCGGGGCTTTTTGGTGGATGCGGCAGGGTCTCGATCTGAAAATGCAAACAATGTGGCATCCTCCTCGGTCAGTCCCAGTTCTGTTGGGAACGCTATCTGGAACGCCTTCAGCATGTTGCTGGCGCTGTCAGTGACCATTATCAGGATCTTGCCTTCCAGGCCGAACCCGGCCACAACACTTGCGCCCCTTCACCCTACAGGAGCGTCTTAGTTACTGGGCCCACTTTTTTCGGGCCTGGATCCGGTTATATACGCAGTTATTCGCATCCATCCACGACTTCTCCGAGAGTGCGCTCTCACATTCGATGGCGTTGACGCCTTTCCGGGTACTTGATGCCTTTCTATAAAGGATTTGAATCTCGAGTTTATAGCCCTGTTTTCTTCTGCCGTCCATGTCTTCCTCTTCACAGGTGTCCGTAGCTGCTTGGATATCCATGCTCGAGTCGTGACTGGCGGTTCTGAATCACGAGACTGTGTCGGACTCCGGACTGCGGACTGCGGACTGGACTGTACTGCGGACTGTGAACTCTCTGGCTCTGTCCGACTCTGGATATCGTCGTCCACCTCAATCGTCAGTTTTGTCCTGATTCTAGTCTGCAAGGTCATCGGGCTCGATCGGTATGTCCTCCAGTCGAATCTCCGCCAGGCTTTTCCCCCTCCATGCTACTATCCCCCGCTCAGACGCCATCAGCAGCTTGCTCACTAGAGCCAACTGAGAAGTAGCTTCCGGCATTCTGTAGACCTCGCGGTGGACACGAATGTCATTGCCAAGAAACGTGGCCAGGAGGTCCAGTTCATTGTTCTTCAGGTTTAGGACCTGCGAGAGGGTGGCGATATGTTTGCGGAGTTTGGTGGATGTCAGAAGTGACGGTTTGTCAATTCCGCTACTAACTGCAACTTTGCGGAGGCCGTCAGATCCCCGCAGCGGCCTGTCATCCGTCGACGACATACTGTTAGCGAAGACATATCGCGATGCGCCGACCCCGGCCGCACCTCGACATTTCAGCAGCAGATCTATGCTGGCACGCATATCGTGAGCGAGCGCCGAGCAGTATAGGCACACCCCTCCCCTTTTTCCCCGCACCACGACTCTCGTCAGATTGCCGGCCAGATGCTTCTCGAATTCTGTCAGGGCGCAAGTCACTTCAGGGTTGCCGTAGGTGTTTGAGATGGCCTCCTGGTAGGCGTCCACGGTCATGGACGACGCCTCCCCCTGTCTCCTCCGATTAAACATAATGAGCCTCGCCAGCACCAGCTCGGCCAGATTCTTATACGCCTGGGCAGTGGCGACCTCTCTGATTTCTTCCGTCCTCTTGGCCGTTTCTACCTGTTTTTTTTTTCCGCGGCGCTTTAGCTCATGTTTCAGAACACCGTTTCCCAACTCTGAGACGAGACTTTTCAGCTTGCTTTCAACGCTTTTTGGCGATCGGCAGTCAAAGACAGGCCAAAGACTGGTCAAAGACGGCAGTCAAAGTCAAAGACTGCATATGCACCATATGCAGATATGGCGCGCCATTATCTGCATGACCTTTGCCATCGATATTGCGGCGCCACTCTCGCTCAAACGTCGAGCCTCTTTTTAGAGCACGGACAACTGCGCCTCCGAGAAGGCTAGTTCTCTCGTGCGTTCCAGCGCCGCGCTGAGTGCCGGAGGTCTTCTGCTAGGAAGGGTGCACGGGCCTCCCAAGGGAGAAGTTTGAGCTTCTTGTCCGCTACTTGGGAAACGTGCCATTGACATATGCGTATAAATGGACGTGGGAGTGCTGGCCCTGCCTGACCAGTTGTTGTTGACGTTGTACAAGCTGCGCCATAACCCGAAGCATCTCGACTTGGCAGTGCGTTTTGGGGTGTCGGAGACCTGTGTAGCCAACGTGTTTCGGACGTGTGTTCGCGCCCTGCACCAAATCCTCAAGGCACTCCATGGAGTTACCATGCCCTCAGTAGCGAAAAATATGACTTCGCTTCCCGCCTGTTTTGCTGGGTTTGAGGGAACCAGGGTCGTCATCGACTGCACTGAAATCGAGTGCGGTGTGCCGCGACGGGACATGGCACAACAAAGTCAGTCGTACAGTCATTATAAGCAGCGCAACACGTATAAAGCGTTAGTAGGGGTGGCTCCTACCGGCGCGGCGCTGTGGTTTTCGTGAGTGATTTGTTCCTGGGGTCGGCATCCGACAAGGACATAACCCTGCGCAGCGGGATCTTGGACAGGCTGTCTCCAGGTGACTTTATAGTGGCAGACAAGGGCTTTACGATCCGTGACATTCTCCCTCCGGGTGTGCACCTGAACGTACCCCCAGGCTGGTGCACCAGCAGTTTACCCCCAGCGAAAACCGCCTCACCACTGATATCGCTCGAGCGCGCATCCATGTAGAGCGGGTGATTGAGAGGATTAAAGGCTAGGAAATCCTCAAACATGTCCCTCACTACCTGAAGACGTCCATCACCACCATATTCCAGGTGTGTAGCTGGTTAGTTAACCTGTAAAAGCCAGTGATTCAGAAAGTGGCGGCGTCTCTGTAGTGCTTGGCTCTGCAGTGCCTGGCAAAGGTCCTTTGTGTCGGGACAATTGTGCTGAGTAGCAGATGTTGCTTGTTTGTATTCTGTTCAGTCGTGCATTGCACATCGCAGAGAACCACGAGGACGACTGTTTAAAATGAAAGTTGCTCTATTTGGTCTTTGTGTGAAGAGGTACATAAATTCATCAGTCGTGGGCACAAAATACAAGTGGCCATTCCATGTGTTGTCTCTATTTCGTTTTCGTACTTAGCGGGGGTAAGAACACAAGCACAAGCTAGATTCCATCACAAGCTGCAAGATAACAACAAATGCCCGCGCATTCGATGATTGCGCAGTGCGCACGTGCAACAAACTCAATGTTTGGCCTTTCACGCAAGTTAACAGACCGGAAAGCGAACCAACCATGTTCAACATGTGAATCATGAATCGTGAATCAGAGGAGGCGATCGCTTTTTGGTGGATGAGGTACCGTAACATACCATAAACAATGTGATACCATGTTTTTTATATGTATTGCTCCACAGCCATATGTCACTCACATCGCAACCAGAATCCCTGAGCACCAGTCGAGGCAGCTAACAATGTGGAAGCTACGAGAAAGGAAAGGCGCCTCACAGCACCTTCTGCGTCCTACTCCTCGCTAGGTTCACCCTCACGTAAAACACATAACAGCAGGGGACTGTTCGCACTGGTCACGGCCCTATCAGGGCGCCTATGCTCATCAAAGAATGCAATGAGCGTGTCGAGGTTTTGCGCCCAAGCCGGATCTTTACGAACGGTGACCACAACCATTTCGCCCGGCGCCCACACTACCAGATAGCACACATCCCGACCAGTCAGGCATAGATTCCCCTGCACCTGGTGGTAGTATGTGGAGCCAGGGTCGCACGTAGCATCCAGGTAGTATTCTTGGTTTTCATCCACTGCCTCAGTACTGCGTTTTATGTAGAAACTCCCCTCATCGATCTTTTAGAAGAGGCCACCCCGTGCAGAAAAGGGACATTTTTTTCGAACTACTCCGCCACCCATTATTAGGTGACCAGGAGTGCCCCACTTCGATTTCACTTCGATGATCTCGGAAGCACCGATCATACCATCTGGTGATGCTCCGAGCACCCCCGATTCATGTAGCCATATTCCCGACTGGTCTACTTTCACATCAAAGTGTTTCTCAAATAGTTCAATCGTGTCTTTCTCGTGGGTCACGCCCCACTGAATAGCAGCAACCCTCCCTAGGAAATTCCCCGCGGTCAGCGTTTTAAGCAGGGACGCCGAAGGCTTTCGTCCTCTCACTACTAACACTGCTCCGATGTTGCTCGCCGTGAGACGCCCTTTTCGGGCGCGACTCCAGTTGGGGTTGGTGCGCTGGCCCTTCGTTGCCCGCTCTATGAGGGCGATTTCTTCAGCACCAAGGCTGTTGTAGCCAACCGTAGTCTGAAAATGCAAGGCGAGTCCAACTTTAATATAAACAAATTGACCATAACGGTAAGTTGAGTAGTCAAAACCCTGAATCGTTTCAATTTATCTTCAAGTTTGGGATTAACTGTTAATCTGCAAAGAACTCGTTACAGTAACAAGCCTAGTGTCACTGACAGAACTAGGGTTTTTTTCATAAGCGCAGTCAGCGTAAGTCAGATTCACAATAACAATTAGCATATGCCTGCTGCAGTCAGGCATAGGATCTCTCATACGGGTGAGTCAAAAACTAAGGCGTATGTACATTCCGATACAAATGTGAATAACTGAAAGGCTTATTTCAAATATCTTTTTTCTTTTTTAAGCTTTTTTCTCTCCCTAGGCTGTGTGGTACGGCACAAAACACCTCACACAGAGAGGTACCCGGTACTTAGTGCACCACTTACTCGGCTTCTGGGAGCAAGTCTCGAGACGACAGCACAGCCTCTTCCCCATGGAACCCATCAAGTGGCCGATGCCGTCGTACCTCGTGCTCTGAGGGACGAGGGCTGGCGAGGTCGGCAGACAGGCCGAGCTCCGACTGCTGGATCGCAGGTAGGAGATGGCGATCTCCCGTCTGAACTCCAGCTGCGATAGCTGGGCCTTGCCGTTGGGCGTGCAGACTTTGTGGAGCATCAATGCATTCACAACTGTCATGCCGAACATTCGGGTCAGGAGGCACCAGTACTTCTTCCCGCGGATGGCGATGTTGTATTTAGACAGATTCCAGTCGTGGAGATCGACACCGCCCATGCCGTCATTGTACGTGCTGAAGAGGCGTGAGACATCGGCCTTACCACCGGTACTTCTGTTGAACCGCTGTGTCATACGGACGGGGTGAACAAAGCCATAGTTTGTGAGCTTGTTCTCATCTTGTTGTCGAACCACCGGACCGCGAGAACTTCAGTTTTCTAATCAAAACGGGCGTCGTACGCGCCGCGTCCTTCCTTGGCTAGCTCCTTCTGCGTCTTCAGAGGACACTTCTCCATCCGATTCTCCCGAACAGTCCCAGTGGCTCGCATCCCTCTAGCTCGCAGCTCAGAGAGGAGAGAGCGAGACGTAAAGAAGTTGTCAAAGAACAGGCTATGGGTTTGGGGTTCTCGACTGCGCCGATCGTGTCCAGAACAACCCGTGATCCAAGGGACTTGCCTTGGAGCTCGGGCCTCACTTTCTTGCCACAATATAAGTGAAACATGTGACAAAATCCGTCCGCTCCACACAGAGCCCATAACTTGTATCCGAAGCGGACGGGCTTTCCGCGCTTGAACTGCTTCAGGCCATGGTGGCCGTAGTAGTTGCACAATCATCTCGTCAACAGCAAGGTTTTTGTTGATAGATGCCGAACTTCCTGAAGCTGTCGTTTAGCATATTGATGAGTGGACGAACTTTGAAGCCGCGGTCCGTGTCTCCTGGTCTTCGGCCGTTGTTGTTTTGAAGGTGAAGATACCGTTTTATTTACATATAAGTTCCCCTTGTCATCGCCTTACGGACCAGCTTGTTAGCGTGCACGTAAGCGGTTTCTGACCAGTAGGTACATCCTTTTACTTGGCAGTGTCACATAGCCATAAAAGATCAGGATGCCGTTGAAAACGCGCAGCTTACTAGCGTCCAGAGAGAATAGCGAGTCGTTCTTTATTTCGAGCGCGTACCGGAGGGTTTCTCGCTGAACATGCTCCATTATTTCCTCACTAAACAGCTCCTCGAACAGCCGAACAGGAGAGCGGCCACTGAGGTGCTCAACAATGCGAGAACGTGACTCAGCAGCACGGTCTGGGCTGTCAGCCCAAGCAGAATAAGTCGGCTCCGTTGCCCTCCACACCGGAGCTGCCTTTCTGAGGTGCCATTTTCGTCCCGAAAATTCGATAATAAAGATGAAATAAATGAAAACATATAAACTTATCCGCGATATGACACCATAACACAGGCACCGGTACAACACGTTGACAGGAACTTGTCTTTCACGCTGCCAGGGACGCAGCTTATGCGTTCAAATGACAGGCAGGCGCTGCTTCAAGGGTTGTCCGCTCCAGTCAAGGCCAGCCACGACCTGAGGAGCGTGATTGGAGCCGAGACACTGCGTCGTACGACAGTCACTTTTGTTTCCCAGCAGCTACGCTGACACTTTCTGGCTGACTTTATGGTAGCCATACTCACTGAGATGCAGTCCGTTTCTGTTAAACTCTTTGGCACTGTTCACGACATGCCGTTTCTCAACAGGGTGGGTGAGCCGGCGCCCCAGCTCCACCAGGGAGATGTCGGGCCGAGCCATCTCCCTCAGCCAGTGGCTGATAGGCCGCTCCAGGTGATCGGCTGCCGTCTTCTCCCACGGTCCGCCCGCGTCGTGAACAGGCCTGGGTAGCGGACCCAGCAGCACCACCCGATCCGCCGCGTCCGCGGAGGTAGCGGTGCACCGTTCCACCGTCCGGTGAAGCAGAATCAGAATCAGAATCAGAATGCATTTCATGACAAATCCACATGCATACATGGTTTTTCATTGCCATACGTCAACTAAATAGATAGAAATGACATGTTGAAGGGGGAAGGGAACGTGTGTCAATACAGTAGCCTCTAACATCAGCTTAGCAAGCCAGCAGCGAAAGCCCGCGCCTACACACCGCCGTGCTGCACCCGCAGCAGGTGGCGCCTCAGCCGAGACCTGAACCCACGCGCGCTCGTGTCGAATGGTAGTCGGTCATACTCTTGCACGCCACTGTAGCATAAACGGCATAAACGCCTCCCAGTGGCCATCGGAAGGCAGGCCAGCAGCCCCTCGGCGTCTGGAGTAGACGTCGTTGCCCGAGAGCCATAACACGGCCACCTCCAGACGGAGACCCTGCAGCGAGGCGGCCTCCTTCCATTGGCGAAGATGCTCGTCAACCGGAAGCCTGCTCCACGTCATGCCCCCGACGGTCAGCCTATCAGGGTTCTGCACCCGAAACGGGGCGTCGCTGGCAATGGAATCGCCGCTCAGCAGGTGCAGCGCTCCGCTGCTCCCCGCAGTCTGGCCGCCGAGTTACTCCTGGAGGTCACTGTCGCAGAGCTGAAGCTCGGCAGCACACTCCGCAGGCTGCGCCATCACCTCATGGAGCAGCTCCATAGCGTTCACCCTGCAATGCAAGAAATAATACGGGGCAGAGTCATGTGCCTTGGGCAGACAAACACTACACTAATGAGTAAAACAAACCAGACGAAACAACGCGCCAGCATTTACATTTGCGACAGCCCCGTTCACATCAGGACATGGTCGCCCACCACTGCTTACTCCTTGGTAAAACAGCATCCGGGACGCCGCAGAGGACAGAGGAAGTACGGACATTGAGGAGTTGGATCCTCTGTGGGACCCCTGGTGCCGCCACTCGCGCCGTCCCTCGCCGGTGCTAGCGATCGAGACGGGGTCTCTGCGGAGTCGACCTCCCAGCGCTCCGAAGGCGTCTTGGTCGTCCCGCGCTGCGGCTTCCTCTGTGGGGTGACTATAGCTGATGGTTTCTTATGAGTCGGTTTGCCGCTCCCTGTCCCATCACGATCTGTAAAAAAACGCGAGTTTCAAATATCCATATGCAGGTAGTGCAAAATAAACGTTTTTTTTTCGAATGTCGATGGCCGACGTAAGCATTGTCCGAAAAAAATACCGTGGTCTAGACCGGGTGCCTTGAGCATACTTTCAGACCATTCATGTTTTAACCTAGCAGTTTACGCTACCATTGAGAAAAAAAACGAACACTGAGTTTAAACATGTCGTAGTCAATGCTGGGTTGCAATGCAATGGGCAATGAACACGGACCTCGGTTACCCGGTGGTCGGTACACAATACACATAGACCACTACAGTTACACATCCAGCAATATCACCGCTGGTACGAGACGAGCATCTATTGGCTTATCTCACCTCCACCAGTTCTTCTAGAACCTTCCTTCCGGCCTGGTTTACCACCTCGGAGGCGATGGAGGGGATGGAGCCGATCCCAGCTCCTCCGGCGTGGCCTTCTTCAAGGCCAGGTAGCTGGTGGCGGTCCGCAGCTGCGAATTCCAGCGGGTGACGGTGGCGGTGTGCAGCTGCGAGTTCCAGCGGGTGACGGTGACGGTGCGCAGTTGGGAGTTCCAGCGGGTGACGGTGGCGGTGTGCAGCTGCGAGTTCCAGCGGGTGACGGTGGCGGTGTGCAGCTGCGAGTTCCAGCGGGTGACGGTGGCGGTGTGCAGCACGTCTCCTCGCTTTTCCATGATCTGGAATATACAAACAATCCAAACTTTGTAAATATTTAAATGTCGACAAATAGCCACATGTATTGCGGGAGCTGAACACACTCAGACTCGATGCTTTACTGTATTATCGGCAGAGGCCCAAACAAGAACCACAGAGCCAACCACTCGTAACCACGGTCTCCCTGCCTCTCTCGGGCCGCCGCCGACCGCCCAGCCAGCGCCAGCCCTCGACCCCGCCCGAGGGCCACGCGGCAGGGGCGGCGCCGGGCGCGGCCAGCCGGGGAGGCGCCACGGGCGGCGCCAGGCATGCCACAACGGGCGGTCACAGCCGCCCGTAACACCCCTCCCCCTCACGGAAACAATCATACATTGAACAATGCGACACTTACGACACGCTATTTACATTACAACTATATACACAATCACAGCCTTCACCACCTCCACCACACTCATAGTCCCGCCTGGAACCTTTCAGGTGGTCGCGACACTCGGCCTGATCTGGTCACGTATGACATTGGCGGCAACATTCCCCTCTGAGCGACGCCCACATCACCAGATGGGCCAGCTCTCCCGAGTAAGTGCATTAGCGGCACCTCGAGCAGAACGCCATGCTCGTTACCACAGTCGCTCACGGGATCCACCCCCACGGCCTCACCACGTCCATTTGGACCACTCGGATCCTGAACTGGCCGCAAGTCGGTCCGACGAGGGATGAACTCCTTGAGGTCGTTGTGGTGCACGACGCGTGTCTTGCCGCGGACGTCCTGTATCCGGTAGGTAACTTCCTCCCCCGGTGTGCCTCTTCTCTCGACGATGGTCACCGGTCCTTTAAACGGCAGACCCAGCTTCGGTTTTCCTCCCACAGCGGCAGTGTGGTCTCGTACCCACACCTTCAAGCCCGTTGGGTACGCGGTAAAATTGAGTTTGCTGTCATGGCGAACCGCCATTCGAGCAGCTGATTGGGAGGAGGCTCTCCTCACCTGTGCGAAGACCCGCTTCATGTTCTTCAGCCGTTTGTTCAGGAAGGTTTCAGCTGGTATTGCGACTTCATCGGTTCCGTACATTACATCCAAAGGCAACCGAGGCTCAAAGCCATGGATCATGTAGAAAGGTGTGTGACCGGTGGTTTCGTGGAGGGAAGAATTGTAGGCCATGGCGTATGATCTGGTACTTTCGTCCCAGTCAAGGCCCTGGCTGTCGATGTATTTCGACACCATGTCTTTCAGGGTCCTCATGAAGCGCTCCACCATCCCGTCGCTCTCAGGATGATAAGGCGTTGTTCTAGTCTTGTGGATGCCGAGCCTCTGATACAGCTCACGCATCATCAGAGATTCGAATTGAGCGCCCTGATCTGTGTGAAGCCTCTCGGGAACACCAAGCTCCTGAACCCAGTGAAGGAGTGCCTCCATCACCGTTTCTGTCTTCTGATTCGGCATCGGGAAGATTCGTACGAACTTTGAGAAGTAATCCATGATCACGAGCACATATCGGTTGCCTCTTCTCGACACAGGCATCTCCGTGATGTCCATGGCTATTCTCTGGAAGGGTCGTGAG